AGGCAGGTAATCTGGTGGGGTGGTTTGGATTTAGCAAACTGTTGATGGTGGAGAAAAGATGTCTGGGGTTGTTATGGTAATTTTCAATGATGTGAGAGAAGTAGGTGGATCTAGCAGTCTCTATTGTAACCTTATATTCAGACAAGTAATCTCTCCAAGCCTGATAATGTACATTTAGGCCAGAAAGACACCACCTACACTCAAGTTTGCAGGAAAAGGTTATGGTCATCTCGACGATGACAGGCAAATTTTGTTAAAGCAAGGCGGGAACACTGGCCAACAGGACTGGGAGATGAAAGCAGCTAGCATGGCTGATACAGACAGGATGGTTGCGTCACTGCATGCAATTACAGGCAATTCATTGCGAACTGTACCAATGGTCCCGTGCTTGTAAAAGCAACTGGCTGAATAGAGACAGAGCTGATCTGGGACTGACAGGGAATCTTTCGGGCAAGATTCAGGACACGTTTCCTTCTAAGACACAGGTTAGGATTGCCGAGCACACTACCTACTGTAGGTCGGTAGGTATCTCAATGACAGAGCACCAGACCAGATTAGTACTCTTTTTTTGGAGGGAGGATGCCCCCATTTTCTGTGGAGACAGAGGGCTGCGAGCTCTAGCTCACCAGGTCATAAGGGCAGAAATACAGAATAGCAGAAAGAAAGAGACTTTAAGAATTATGGGTTATAGTTATTTTGCTATTGTTTTACACAAAGTGGCTTATAAAGGTTACAATTACTAGTAACACTTAAGGATTGTAAATGCCATTTTATTAAATCTATACTAGAATGACAAAACATGATATTAAAACCCTTTACCTCAGTACAGCCCCAACCCAAGGCTTATATGGAGAAGGTCAATTGTTCTATCTATTATACTTTATACATTTTATGCATTGACATTATAACATTATCTTTCCATAGTAAAGTCATGTTATGTCATTTACCAAACCACTTTATACCATACGATGTCACGGGAAACCAGAGCCTACTCGGCAAGCAACGAGCGCAAGGCAGGGTACACCCTGGACGGGACGCCAGTCCATCACATGGCAAGTGCAAACCAATCATACATGGGGACTATTTGGAGGCCACAGAAAAGGCTGAGAGGGGGAAATTTGGCCCGAAACCCAGGATAACTCCCTACTCTTATCAAGAAATACCTGGGGATATTTAATGACCACTCAGAATCAGGACCTCAGATTAACGTCTCATCCGAAAGACAGCACCCACTACAGTATAGTGTACCCGCCACTATACTGGGGCATTAGGACCCACACAGAGCACAGGGTGGGCGCCCCCCGCTGGTCCCACTGACACC